GGACTGCAAGGAGATCCAACCAGTCCATCCTAAAGGAGATCAGTCCTGGGTGTTCATTGGAAGGACTGATGTTGAAGCTGAAACTCCAATACTTTGGCCACCTCATGTGAAGAGTTGACTCATTGGAAAAGACCCTGATGCTAGAAAGGATTGGGGGCAGGAGGAGAAGGGGACAACAGAGGATGAGATGGCTGGATGGCATTCTCGACTTGATGGACATGGGCTTGTGTAGATCCGGGAGTTGGTGTTGGACAGGGTGGCCTGGTGTGCTGTAATTCATGGGGTTGCAAAGAGTCAGACATGACTGAGTGATTGAAGTGAACTGAACTGAAAGGATTATAACCCTGAAATAACCTCTAGAAAGTTCTGGAATTGTTCTATCTTTTAAAGGTCAAAGCGTAGTCGAATAATTTTCTGAGATGAAGAGCTGTTCATTGATTGATGTATTATTGACAGTGTAAACAAGCCAGATCTACATGTACAGGTAGCGGTGGACAAGGGGTCATCAAGGTGAGCCCCTTACAAGAAGGAAGGTCATTTCCTTAGGGTTTCTCTTGCTGGTGCTAGGAGAATGTGTCTCTTTGTTATCGAGTAGATGTTTCTGCTGATGGGAAGTTTGGTTGAGGCATAATAGAGATACACAGTGCACAGTAGAGGGGAGAAAGGATGCCAAAGGAAGAAAAACAAAAATTATGTACACAATTCTGACTTGCCTCAGACTGCATTTTTATTTCATCAGAGCTGTTAGAGAGGAAGGAATTATCTTCTACCATCTTCCTAAGTTCTTTAGGCTGGTTGGTGGCTCTGAGAATTAAATTGCCATGAGACAAATTTGCAGGAAGAAATAAAATAGAAGTTGTATAACATGTATATATAGAAGCAACTCAGGAAAACTGAGTAGCTTATCAAAATGGCCAAAGCCTTTACCTTAAATACTGTCTTCAGCTAAAGACAAAAGAGGATGTTGAGGGTAGTAGTTTGGGACTTCAAAGGAGCAGGAGGGAATTCGCATGGAGATGGAAAAACAAATGCTTGATAAACTGATATCTGCTGGGTCCAGTAGAGACAGTGGTATAGAGTGGACTTGGATCTCTAGGCACTGCCTGCATTTCCCTGACTACACGTAGCTGACTTTCTCTGCAGATATCAACAAGCCCTTTATCTAGTATTTTTTATACAATCAGGGGGAAGATAAAAATTTCTTCTGGAGTCTTCTGAATCTTGATTGTTTTCAGCTGGAAATAATCCACATGCCAAAGAGGCATTTTGGGGGGCTGGGGGTCAAATATTGCTCCCTTACAAAGCCAATTGGAAGGTTAGCTGGAGTCTGAAGCAACTCAGTGTCACTTTCTAATTTTTAGTATTGATTTAGCCAATTTGATTCAAAGACTAGGGCTGCAATACTGGAGATTACTGAGCCATTTCTACCTCTTTCTCCTAGTTGCTGTTGTCTGCAGATTCCCCATTGAATCCCATTCTGCTTTCAGGCCCCTTCCCATTTTATAAATAAGACCCCAATGTTTCAGACTCTACTCTCAAGGTTTTCCTGCAGAATGGGAGGCACACTGAGTTCAATTCAGTTCAGTCACTCAGTCGTGTCCGACTCTTTGCGACCCCGTGCACTGCAGCTCGCTAGGCCGCCCTGTCCATCACCAGCTCCCGGAGTCAACCCAAACCCATGCCCATTGAGTCAGTGATGCCATCCAACCATCTCATCCTCNCTAGTTCTACTAGAACTAGCAGCTGCTAGAATCTTAAAGAGGTATTGATATCCTGTCCATTCTTCTATTTCAGGAAAGAATATCTAAAGTCACTTTGGTGCAGCATTTTATGTACTTCCATTTAGGGAATTAAGGCATACAAAATGCAAAAATTATGCAAAAGAATGACTGACTTTTCAATCTTCAGACATGATGATAGCAGTTAGGAATTATCTGAGGGACAGGGCTTTCTCAGTAACTCTTAAGTCATTCTATTTATTTGCCAGTCTACTTATTCAGTTTGTAAAACCTTTCCTGAATACAAGCAAGCAAACCAAAAAAAAAAAAACACAAATCAAGTAGTAAGCAACCAGTAGGGGAAAAATCAGACAACTAAAAAACATAAAAGTTCATACATATGATTTATCTTTATATACAAGGATTTGAAACTCTTAGTCACTTAGTTGTGTCCGACTTTTTGTGAGCCCAAGGTCTGTAGGCTGCCAGGCTCCTTTGTCTGTGGAATTCTCCCGGCAAGGATACTGGAGTGGGTAGCCATTCCCTTCTCCAGAGGATCTTCCCAATTCCAAGATCAAACTCTCCTGCATTGTAGGCAGATTCTTTACCATATGAGCCACCAGAGAAATGCCATAAAGACATATCATTATTACATATTATTAAAATTGTTTTCATTTAAAATATTGCAAATGTTTTAAAAAATATTATAATATATAATACATCATTTAATGTATTCTTTTAAAATATTGCATTGGATATGTTTATATGAATAATAATCATCAAACAGTACAAAAGACATCTACTAAAAACTCTTTTATATAATATTCAGATATAACTGGGCATCCTATATTTTATCTAGATGAATCTTAATGTTAATAGATTCTAATAGATGAGATCAGTGATGATTTTTTCAGATACTTCTAACTTTTTCATCCAATGAAATATCCAAATGCACTTTCACATTTTAGAAATCAAGTGGGTATTTTACCTCTAGTCAAGATCCAATACTCCAAAAATTCCATACTACTCCAGATAAAAAGAGAGATGATAATGTTTTTGTCATGTAAAGAATTAGCTCTCAGTGACCATTAACAGTCATAAGAGTCCATGGTCAGAGGCCAGAAAATTTAGGAAATGACCAACACCCAGGTGATAATCAAAATTGACAACTTCTATCCACTCACCTTTAATGAAGAATTGGATTTTCTTCTCCAAAATTACTTTTTGTTTGGATAAGGAGAATATATGCCTTTTCTCTTCCTCTGTGATGATCCCAGAGGAAGCAGTATCATTTATTCAGATGATTATACCTAAATCATCTGAGCATTTATTAAAAATTGCCTGTGCTGACTGCTAATTATTCAGGATGTTCTACATATTCCCAATTGAAAGGAAAAAAAAAGTGCAAGTGATAATTCAAGGAAAGAAAGCAAACAGCATAAATGATCTGTACAGCTCATGGAGAGCTCTGTAAAAGTACATATCCCCTCACACAGAGTCAGGGATTGAAGTAGCAATGAAAATTCTTCAATCAGCTTTATTCCAGTAAAACTGGAACAGTTACAAAACCCATGATAAATTTTAAATGACATTATCATCATCACATACTTTTTTTTTTCTTTAAGTGTATTAGTCAAGTAAAAATATGTAGTGAACACTGGGTTAAAAATATATCATTTAATCTATGTGAGATAGGTATTATTTCCATATTCAGAGGACATCAAGTTTAGGAGAACCAGATAATTTGACCAAAGCCATATAATTGATA